GCGGCTCTGTGTGTGACAGGGTGCGGTGCCCCAACCCCCTGATAAGCCCTGCTCTGTGCGTGACAGGGGGTGATGCCGCAACCTCCCCATCGACCCTGCCTTGAGGGTGACAGGGGGTGGTGCCCCAACCCCCCAGTCGGCCCTACCCTGAGTGTGACTGGGGGTGGCATCGCAACCTCCCAATCTGCCCTGCTCTGTGCATGACAGGGGGCGACGCCCCAACTCCCCAACTGGCCCTGCTCTGAGCCCGACCAGGGGCTGCACCTAGGGATTAGGCCTGCCCTCTGCCACCCGGGAACAGGCCTAAGCCAGCAGGTCGTTATCTCCCGAGGGGTCCCAGACTGCGAGGGGGCACAGGCCAGGCTAAGGGACCCCCCTCCCCCCCAAGTGCACAAATTTTTGTGCACCGGGCCTCTAGTGTATAATAAAAGACACACACCTACACATATCCTCATACAATTTAAGAAGAAAGATAAAGGAAAGAGCCTAAAATTTTCAGGTAGAAAAACACACTGCCTCGCCCTAGAAAGAAAGAATTGTAATATATTAATCTTCCCATCAGCAACAATGGATGGTCAAAGATATTCAATGTCATCAAAGCTCTAAAGAAAAATTATTTAATCTAGAATTTTATGTCCACCAGAGTATCAACAAGAGAAAGTGAAAATAATCACTTAGACATGAAAGTTTACCTCTGCGAAAGATATTTAAAAATGTGTATCAGATAAACAACAATGAATCCCCAAAAAGAGGAAGGCATGGGACACCAGAAATAGCTGAAACAGCGAGTACTCCTATGAAAAGAAAGCCCAGGATGAGAATGCCGGAAACAATCAATCCAAATATGAAATAAGTGAGTATGGGAACAATGAGTGCAACAAGAATGGAATGAAATGGGTTACCAGTAATAGCTAGAAAACTGAAAGATTTTATTGCTGACATAATAAAGTAAGTTTCTTCACTAAAAAAGAAAAATTTTGGAAAGCCCAGAAAAATAAAAAATAAGATAGTCCATATAGGAGGCAAAGAAAAACATGACAAATTTCATGTAATTGATGGGGAAAGAAACAAAGAGATGCCATTTAATTGGGACAATGGGAATATTCTCTATGCATGGCATAGGGAGACATAAAACTAGATCCCTACAGAGGGAATGGAATGAAGATTATTTATATAGTGCTGTATACCCCATATATAGTTTCAACTTTTATAATCAATCTTCAAACTATGGAAGACTTAAGAAATCTATATTATAAAAGGCCTGTGGCCCTAACACCGTAACGACCAAAGACCAGCGCAGGTGGGCGGGGCTGAGAGTGTGGCAAGGTGCGGGGGTAGGCTGGGCTGTGCGATTTTGCATGCTGGGCTTCTAGTCTATACTAATAAAAGAGAAAAATGGTAATTGGCGTATGACGCTACCCTTTTCATTGGCTAATCAGGGCTATATGCAAATTAACTGCCAACTAAGATTGGCAGTTAACGGCCAACAAGATGGCGGTTAATTTGCATATGTAGGCACAATGCAGGGAGGCGAAAGGGAAAGCAGGAAGAAGCCCCCTGCCACTGACAGTGATCG